GATGGCATAGAGGGAACAAAGCAGTTACAGAATCTGGAAGCCCTGCGAGAAATGCTTCAAAACTTCCTCAACAGAAAACAGACCGTAAAGTGTGTGTGTGTGTGTGTGTGTGTCTAATTTAGAACGGTCCCTAAACGAATGGCTGTAAGTCGAGGACTACCTGTCCCCTCCGGAATCTTAACCAGCCCGACGGAGCTGCGAGGCAAGAGAGCTGCCCAGTGGGCGGGATGACCGCGTGGAGGAGGCGGGGAAGAGCCTCTGCAAGGAGTCCCGCCTAGTCCCGGCCAGACCAGGCAGAGACACACACAGAGAGAGAGAGAGAGACGCGGCGTTTATTCCTGCTGGATCGCCCCGGGAGCCGCGATCCGTCGGGCGTCCCGCGCGATCTCCCGCCGCCCCTCGCACCTTTTCCCTCCCGTTGCTCCGGGAGACCCGCTGAGGGTTCCCACGCGAGTCAACTGCTACTCCCACCTGCGCGGCAAGTCAGATTTGTTTTTTTCCCCCAGGTAAGCGATCGCAAGCGCTCCGGGTGAAGTTGAAGGGCGACTTCTTCCCGCGGGGCTCGTCCTCCCTCGATCCCTGATCCTGCGCTGGTTCCTCTTGGGGGGGGGCTGAAACCACGCGATCCCCAACTTTTTTGAACCACGCGATCCTCGGGACCAGCTTCCCGGATAGGCGTTTTGGGGAGTTTGGGTTTCTAACGGTTAGAGAGGGAGAGGATTTGGGGCGCATCCGAGTGTCTTTGGTGGGTTTAAGGACAGGACGGGACGGGTGCCACCCTTGAGGACTAGTAACTTGCCTTGAGATACAAGTTAGCCTTTGCCCTGTTACTTTTTTTCTTCTATTGTGAGTGTTTACATTTTCTCTTCTTTATTCCACCCTTGAGGACTAGTAACTTGTCTTGAGATACAAGTTAGCCTTTGCCCTGTTAACTTTTTTTCTTCTATTTGTGAGTGTTTACATTTTCTCTTCTTTATTTCTCTTCTTTATTAAGAGCTGGTTCTGGTCTGGGGAAGAAGGGCTCATAATATCCATGGATTTCTTGCTTTTTTATGATCCGGTTCTTGACTGCGTGGTGTTTATTCCGTCCCTCGGTTTTTAGACATAATCCGCCACATGAGGATAGATTTTGATGAAGTCAGTGAATTCATTATTTTAACCAGCTGCCTCCTTTTTCACTCGGTTCTCTGGCTCTCTTTTATTATCATATATAGAGTGTTAGTTTGGGAAACTCAGAGGTATGTTCCAACAGCACGCCATTTAAATTTAGGAATAATATAACAACAATGACAATAATAATTTAATGACACCTGTTTAAAATGTGTGGAATCCTATTGATGCATAAAGATTATGGTGGAAATTAAAGTCTCCAAGCTGAACTGGTATTGACAAAGAGTCCACTGGATTTGGACAGCTAATAACTTCAAAATTATAATAATAATAATTCAGTTGTGTAATTGGAGCCCTCTTAGGAATAATAGAACAACAATGACAATAATAATTTAATGACACCTGTTTAAAATGTGCGGAATTCTGTTGGGGCATAAAGATTATTGGGGAGATAAAGTCTCCAAACTGAACTGGTATTGACAAAGAGGCAGTAGTTGGACAATTTATAAATTCAAAATAATAATAATAATCATTCAGTTATGATTGGAGCCCTCTTAGCAATACCTAAAGGACTTTTTCAATATTTGGAAATGTTGGATTTACGGGACTTGAACACCCTAATTTTACCCCAAAAAAACCCCCAAAACCACCACCACAGCTTGCTAGGAACTTCTTATATTCTCAGATACTATCTAAACCATTCTTAAACTTTGGTTAGGACTTGGATTATCAAACTCCCACCAATATTAGATGTGAATTTAGTCCTAGATTATCTATTATTATTATTATTATTATTATTATTATTATTATTATTCAGAAGAATTCAATTCATATGAAGGCCAGCACCGGCTAAAGATCTGGCAGCTGGGATTCACGTAGCTATTTATATAATAACACTAAAAAAAACCCTAATAATTCCTTTTTTAGAAATTTTGTTCACCAGTCTTCCATGGATTCCTTCCCGCAGGGAAGTTTGCATTCCTAGACAAAGAAACTAGATTTGTTCAGTTTTGCCCTCTGTTCGTTAAAACAAGCATTTCTTTATTGATTTTATTGGTGGCTCAAACAGCAAAGTCGAAGGCTGACCACATAGGAAAGAGAGCTACTTAAAAATGACACTTCTCTGTGTTTTGTTCTTGGTGTGTTTTTGCAAACTTGGTTTGCAAACGAGGGCAAGGGGATATCCTTGTCTTTTCTGGATAGATCGTCTCATGAACCACAGTTATTTTTTTTTTCCAACTGAAGGAATTAAATGGAATTTGCAATCACATATTGTTCGATTCTGCCTTTATTCGATTCTGCCTGAAATATTTATTCGATTCTGCCTGTAAGGTAGTCCAGCTTCTGCCGAGGACAACATTACAGGTTGTCCTCGGCATGACTACAGTTAGGATCAAAATTTCCATTGGTAAGCAAGGCAGCTGTTAAATGAGCCATGCCTGATTTTACACACCATGGCACTTAAGCAAATTACTGCAGTTGTTAAATGAATCCTGCAGCCATGGAGAAAATTTGCTGGTTGGAAGCTACAGTAGTGGCCAAAATTGTGGAAACCTTTTGGGAAAAGTGTATTTTTGAGGTTTGATGGCTAATAACACCACTTTTTTTTTTTTTTTTTTTGGCGTTTCAAGATAATCATATTCCACTGCAGGAATAGCCCAGACCTTAACCCAATTGAAAATCTATGAAGCCGACTAAAGAAACTTGTTAGTCAGAAGTGACCCAGCAATAAAACCGAGTTAATAGAAACAATCATTCAATCTTGGTTTCACATTAGAACAGCTGCAGAACTTAAAAGATTTGGTTCACTCCATGGGAAGACATTGTAAGGCCGTAATTCATGCTAAAGATTACCCAATCTATTAACTGACATGATGATAATTTTTGCATATTTCATTTTTTCTATGGTGATAATTTTTGTATATCTTGGTTTTCTTTTACATGTTTCACTTTTCTTCTTTTTACTGTAAATGCTATTCCAATAGCAAATCCTTCATAAAAGTTATTGCATTACATTCTTGATTAAATTATCTTTCCATTGATATATAATTTTATGGTACTACTCTCAAAAAAAAGGTGGTGTTATTAGCTAGTTTTAGAAAATACACTTTTCCCAAAAGGTTTCCGCAATTTTGACCCCTGCTGTAGTTGGGAAGGCCACAAATGGCAGTCCCGTGACCCTGGGATGCTACCACCCTCGTAAATACAAGCACCCAAATTTTGACCCCCGTGGCAAATGCTGCAAAGGTCATAAGTGAAGGACCAGCTGTAAGTCCCTTATTTCAGTGTTTTTGTAACACTGGGCAAGTTGCTGGACAAATGTTTGTAAGTCAAGAACTGCCTGTAGCAGAATAATTCCAGATGAGATGGTTCTCACCATCGGATTTTTACAATCTTTTTAGTAATCGTAGCTCTAAGGTAGTCCAGCTTCTGTTTAAGATCCGATGGGATTGAAGGAAGATTGATCCTTGGTGCTGGGGTGAGTTGAATATGTATGACTTGCTTTTCAGAAGTTCAAGGTGCAGATTCAGCCTTCAGGGTTAGCGAAAAAACCTCATCTTGAAGAAATGTCCCTCAGAGTGCTCATTGTTCCCCTGTGGAATTCATTGCCACCAGACACACCATAATAACGACTGACTCAGAATGCTTAAAAGAGATTGGATTAGCTCACGGGGAGGATAGTGACAAGCTCACCGCACAAACCATAAAGCTTAGAGACTCACATGTCAGGAGGCAAATAGGAAAAGCTAGGGTTATATCACAATGTTGTGATGTGTCTCCCTATATATATTTTTTTGTCGCTGAGATTTTTATTAGACATCTGTGGAGAGCGATCACTCTCAGGGGTGTCCAACCTTGTCAACTTTAAGACCTGTGAACTGTAGACCTGTGGACATGCTGGCTGGGGGGATTCTGGGAGTTGAAGTCCACAATCTTAAAAGTTCCAAACTTGGGACACCCCAAGGCTATCACCCTAAATAGTTCCAAACTTAGACACACACCCCGGCTATCACCCTAGATCAGGGGTCTCCAACCTTGGCAACTTTAAGACTTGTGGACTTCAACTCCCAGAGTTCCTCAGCCAGACCTTTCTGATTAAGTCAGGGGTCTGCAACCTTAAACACTCAAAGAACCATTTGGATCCGTTTCCCACAGAAAAGAAAACACCGGGAACCACAAAACCTGGGTGGGCATGGCCAATTTGATGTCACGCACTTCCACCAGTCACATGACACCCCCCCCCAGCCATGCCTACCCAGCCGGTCATTAGGGCAGAGAACCAGTTGTTAAAAAACACCAGGAATCACAAAACCCTTTTGACACATCTCTCTCTCCCCTCCTTCTTTCCCTCCCTCCCCGCTCTCTCTCCCTCTGTATCTCTCTATGTCTCTCTCTCTCCCTCTCTCTCTGTATCTCTCTGTCTCTGCCCTGGCCGCTTCTCAATCTCCCGCCGTCGCCCTTACCTTCTCAGGCCAGGCGAGAAGTGACTGGGAGGGGAGGGTGAGGAGCGGGGCCAGCCAGTGGTGGGATCACCTGACAGGGAGCCACAGCAGAGGGCCCAAAGAGCCGCATGTGGCTCTGGAGCCGCAGGTTGCTGACCCCTGGATTAAGTAAACCACGATTTCTCAATCTTAGCAAAGAATGACTGGCTGGGAAATTCTGGGAGTTGAAGTCCACACATCTTAACAGTTCTCAAGGTTGAGAAACATTGAAGTAGACACTGCACTAAAATGGTTGTAGGCCTGATTCATCAACTTAGTCCACAGTACCTCTTGGCATGTGATATTTGAGGGGTGGGTTTACATCTACTTAGTTAATGTTTACCCGTTCTAGACTGAGGATGCTTTGGGGGAACGTGTTTTCCCTGTGTTGTTGAAAAATATATATATATTAAACCACGATATTCAAATTACAGTTTGTAGAGAAGCATACCCACAGGTTTTTGAAAATTGCAGAATTCCACACACGAGAGAAATGTGTACCCTTTTGGATAGCAGTGTTGTTTGAAAACAACAACACCCAGCTCACATCAGTCCTTGTAGAAAGTACAACTTTGTCTATTTTTACTAACTGAAACTCTAGGGTGTAGTTACAAATTTGCACAAGCAAGGATTTTTTTTTTGACTCAGAAGTAAAATGGCAGTTCTCTGAGGCAATTGCTCCTTTGTGTAACTCGCATAACAAGATTTTATTCCTCTCTGCACCATGTGGCCATTTATGGCCGTTTGCGGTGTCCTGAGATCACCTGACTACGTTTATGCTGGCTTTGCCAAAAACCGACAACTTACTTCCGGTTTTCCTCAACACTGTACTATTGCGATCGATGGATTTGATTAGTGACTGCAGCGTTGGCTTATCCACCATGGTGTTGTCTTTACAACTGTGGTATTTGCTT